AAAAATCTATCAGCCAACTGTATCGACCCCTGGTGAGTATAATTCTGCCTGTAACTGTAACCCATAAGACCTAACTGAAGTGAATCACCGCCATTGCATATCAATGAGACCCATGTCTTTGCCCATCGTCCTCCAGGAAGCTTGGCCCAGGTTGGCTTCCGTTGGTATCTCAGGCATGGTGTGCACTGTTCCCCGTCCCCCATTAGGCCCAGCATTCATACTGAAGCCCAAAGTGTTTGGGTGTGTCCTCATGAGCCGGTCATGAAAACTCCCCATTAGAACTAGGTAGGGCCATAACATACCCCTCCACAATCCCTATCAATTTAGCAAATGATACTACCACTTTTCCCTATACTTACACCCTTGGGTCCACCATACATCTGTGTCACTTGATGAAATAAAAAAGAAATAACATATTTCAAAAACTAACTTGCATCTGCTGAAAAAAAAGGGAGAACTAAATCAGGAAGTTCTAACCTAACCTCCACCCTATGAAAATAAGACCAACCCAAATGACTATGCCTGCATCGACCTGTACTAATCCCCCCAGCAGCCAAATAGAGATAAAGAAGCACAAAAGGGGAGGGGCATGGCCAAGGTAGTACCATTAACACTGTACCCTAATACCCTAAAAATTAAAAAAATAAAAAAAAAGACTGCAAGAGAGGGTGAAAGGAGAGGAATAAACCCCAGAATAATTTAGGCCTGAGACTGCATCGAGGGCATGTATTCAGGTCACAGCATTACCCCCTTTCAGTATCAACGGTGCAAGAGCCTGACTATCTCGACATCAAATCCACGTTACCTTAGTGATCAAAGGACGCAGCTCACCCCGGATGAATCAACCACCAGTCTGAAACGCAGTATACGCTAATAGATGAACTTTCAAGACATGGATATTAGTTTGAGGTTACTTTCCAGCTAGCAAAGCAAGTTTCAGATTAATGTCCCTTGGCCAAATCAAAACCAAAGCCTGGCTTGAAACACATCAACCAGAGCATTATGATGGTCTAAATGCCGGCCATTCAATAAACATTGTACATGTTAACCTATAGAATAAATCCCCATTTTTTTCCGCCCATGATATATACACCTGAAGTATTTCAAATTACCCTATACATGTTTCAAAACTACTTATGTCCTTTCTCAAATTCCCCTGATATCTTCCATAAGTCTGATGTTCCCAAATTTGGTGACCATTAATGAGGCGACCAGACCAGAAAAACAAAGAACAAATCGTGTCCTATACCCCTACTGTGTTATACTCTAGAGACACATTTCCTATCCGTCAGTGATACATTAACAAATTTCCCTTTATGAGTCAGACAGCCAGGCCCCTAGATTTCTGACTAAACGAAACACGTTGTACCCACCAAGTGAAATAAGAGTTTAATAGAGGAATCAGGTATTCATTCATTCTATGAGGACAACAACCGTAACGAGCCACTAAGAATAACATGGCTAGGAATGTAATAAAATATGAGGTGGACCAATGAAATTATTCTGATTTAATCTGCTGTTTAATCCCGATCAAAATATTCACCTAGTTTTTGCATCCCAGCTCTCAATCCACATAACTAACAAGCAATATTCAAGCAGGGGGATTGATTAACGACACTTTTTAGACCGCTAAGATCACAAAAAATGTGCAGGAATTCAACGTTTTTGTTTATAATCAGGCAGATACAATTTATCCTTTAAAGAACTATGAATCCTAAAGTGTGATGCTGCACATAAGAAAACAAAGGAGAATCAAGACATATCATCTAAGCAACATTAATGTTAACTCTTACTGCCAAAAGACATTGGCAATATCATGACAGTGTCCCTTTGAGCCTAGATCCAGCCTCAAAGCCTTCCCCAATGACACCTCAAGACACCAGGCACCCTATATTAATTCAAGCCAGATTTTTCAGGAGATGAAATCACTTGCCACACCAAAAAGTGGAAGTCATAAGCAAGAAAGATGGATTCTAGAGTAGAGATAAAAAGCATGGGATGCACTTGGGAGCAGCCTAGAAGCTTCTTCACAATTGGATTGAGTAACTCTCTCCATAGTGGAAGAACAAAGAAGTCCTGTCTGAGTCAAAGAGAGGATTGGTAAAGTCTGTGAAGTGGAGGTGAGGCTAAGAAACAGATGCTGAAGCCCTGGATGTACACTAGTCATTTAAAGTAATTAGAGGATAAATGAACATCCACCAATTATTATAATCGAAAAAGAGTGACACGTATGCTTAAATATTGCATTAGCTAATCCCTAGAAGCAACAGAAAGAGCAAAATAAATTAAAATACGTGAAAGTAGCAACAACATACAAAAGAGTAAAGTTTCCTGACAAGAAAGAACAAGCTGTTACATTAAAGACATTAAAACTACTTTGAAAACACATAATGACTCTATAGCTAAATTGCATCCCGTTCCCCAATTCAATCACTAGCCAAGTAATTACAAAAACACTCCCCAGAACATAAAGTAAACAAAACCAATCTCGGCCTGGCGGGTGGCTCACACTGTATCCTAGCATCTGGAGGCCGGAGCGGACAAGATCGGCTCGATGGTCAGGATTCAAACCACCCTGAGCAAAGCGAGACCCCGTCTCTACTATAAAGTAGAAAGGAAATTACATTGGCCATACCTAATGACATCATATACCGTATAGTATACTATTACTAGCGATATATATAGTAGGGTGTACGGCTAGGCTAGTGAGCTGGCGGCATGCTGGCGCATGCCTGCGTAGCTCACCTACTCGGAGCGGCTGACGGTCAGTAGGATTGCTTCTGGAGCCCAGGCAGTTCTTGAGGTTGCTGTCGAAGGTAGGCTAACACACGGCACTCACTCTACAGCCCTGACCCAACCAAGCGAGTCTCTGTCTCAAAAAAAAAGCGACAAAAGAGACCAAAACTATACGAAGCCTTCCTCTTTAGTCAGAGAGAAAAGGTCCTGTTACATAACACTCAGTAAGACAGAATCCAACAACATACAGAAAGGATGATATACCTTGATCAAGTGAGACTGTGCCACAAATATATATAGTTTGTGAAGCATCAAGAAAACAACTAATATATCCATCATTCACACCCATACTTTCAAAAGTGTCCTCATTTCCATGCATATGCCTGTATGTGTTGCGGTATGTGCTCTTAACATGAATAAATGTATTATTTTAATTGTGGTGATGTACCACAGGTACATACAATCTCATGAAATTGAACACAGTAAACATGCAGGAGGGTTTGTATACCAATTAGATCTCAGAGCTGAACTTAGCATTCTCTAAAATTAAGGAAGCTAAAGATGTAACAATCTCACTGATACAGAAAAGAGCATTTTGCTAAATATATCCCTATGAATAAAATCTTAAACAAACTAGGACTTGAAGAGAATTTCCACAGCCTGATAAAGAGCATCCACAGAACACCTACAGTAAGCAACAGACTTACTGGAAAGGATGTTTTCCCCCTGAGATTAGGAACAAGACACAGGCATTTACTTTTAGCACTCCTAGTCAACACTGTACTTGAGGATTCTGCTAAAAACATCATGCAAGGAAATATGAAGAAAAGAACTCCAGGTTGCTAATGAAATAGGAAAATTGCCATTTAATGATTAAGACATTAATTTCATATGTAAAAAGCCCTGAAGATATCACTAAAAACCTTCCCCAAGTAGTAAATAAGTTTTGAGGTTTTTCAGACTATGAAATCAAGATAAAAATGTCAATTGTATTTCCATACACCAGCTATGCACATCCTGAAAATATAACTTAGAAGACAATATTTTGATTCAAAAAAGAATCAAAAAGCATGCAAACATAGGCATGAAGTGTTTAAAATCATACCAATTTTAAATTGAAGGAAAAAAAACACTTTTCGAACTATAGCAAAAAGAAAATCACATTTTTAAAAATTAGGTAATAATTTTAGCAGCTGCCTCCTGCTCCTCCACCCACAGGCCTGGAGCCTCCTACCAGGGCTCAGGCAGGCGGCTCATCAGGATCTTCCTCCTCCCTAGCTGCGTGGAGCAGCACGGAGCAGATGGCTGGGCCAGAGTGCCAGGCCCATGGGCCCATGGGGGCCCACAAGCAGAGCTCGTAGAGGAGGGCCCTGGTGAGGGCCTGGCCGGCCTCTGTCCTGACCAGAGTACCTGGGGACCACAGCGCCAGGTCCACTCCCAACGCCTTCCACTTGGTAATCACCCTCAGGTCGGCTCAGCCAGCGGCAGCCCTACCCCTACCCTGCTGGCTCACAGGGTGAGGCTTCCCCGACAGTAGGCTGCCAGTTTGGGATGGGAGTGTGCCTCCACGCCTCCCATTTGGGAGCTGACTGTCCTTCAGGCAGCACTTCCTCTGGCCACCCCACCAGGCTACCCTTATTCCCCACTGCCCAGGGCCTGGCAGCATTTGTGGGGCAGGTGACACCCAGGAGCCTGCTGCAGGCTAGGCTGGGGGCCTGTGTAGGGTGGGGGCGGTGGACCCCTCTTCCTCTCCTGTCCTGTGGCCCCTCCTAGAAACACTCTCCCCATTCCCCCTGGACTTCGAAGGGCAGTGGCCACATACCACTAGACGACAGCCCTAGAACATTCATCCTCACCTTCACATGGCATTGCAGGTGCGCCCACGGGGACAGACACCTCAGCCCACAGGGCAATAAAGTAAAGGGTAGGATGTGGTGGGTGTCTCCTCACACCTGCCTCTGGGGTGCGGAGCCTGAGTGTCACCTGATTCCCTCACACCCACTCTGCAAAGTTCACCCTGGCTTTAGCCAAAGCCAACAAAGGACTGGGGTCCACCTGAGGTCAGGGACTGGGGACATCACTCTCTGCTGTGTCCTCAACACCGCAGGCACCACACAAACTGCTAAGAGCAGCACAGAACCCAGATACACTGCACTCCCACGAGTGCCCCCCTTCCCGCACTCAGGTGCCCATTCCCGGTCCCCAAGTCGTCTGTGTACCAAGGACTGGGTCCCTCCCATGTACCAGGGTGGATCCTTCCTTACCTGCCTTTCACTGCAGCATGGTCAGGTCCAGTTCCCTCCCACATGCCAACTGCTTTCCTTCTTGCCTGTAGTCACTGCACGACCCCCTTCATTCCAAGATTGTTCTAAGGCAGTGCAAGCCACAGTGGCCCCAGCAATGCAGATCGTCTAGGGCGCAGTACACACCAGACACCGGATCTCGAGCCAGAGAAGCCACCCAAGCATAGTTCCTGCGGATCCCAGTTGAGAAATGACCAGGTGCACCGCCGCAGGCTGGCTATTTAGTCTCCCTCGTAGTTCAATGAGTTGTTCTGGAATACCCATTCTCATTGGATAAAATTACCCAATCAGAAATTGGTCTGTTAGGTTGTCTCCTTTCGAAAGTCTTTTGGTTGATTGGCTTGTCCAATCAGATATTGACGCTGAGGTTTTTCTCATCCAATCAGAATGCGTATTCAGACGCAATCATTCCAATGCGGGAGGCCCTAATTGGCCTGCCGCCTGCGACATTCGCCATTTTTCGGCTGAAGCAGCCCCTGAGATAGTTGCAGAGATTCCCACCTCAGGCTCCCACGTGCCTCTGTGGCTTCCTACCCTGGCTGCGGTCATATCTCGCGGGCGCCACACTCAGCACAAATCTGACATCATGGAGTGACCAAGAAGGAAAGGCACGGACTTAGCCTTGTCACACAGTAGGGACCATTTGATGAGCAGCAGGTAAGGAAGGACCCGTGAGAGGTGCCGGTCCTTTGGCCATGAGGAGGCTTGTGGAGGATTACCCAGAATTGAGACGGTCACAGTGCGTGAGTGGCACCTGGGGTGAGTGCACTGTGGTGGTTTCTGCTGCTCTTTCCCCAGAGGGGTTTTGTGATGCCTGAGCCCGAGGGCCACCATCCACGTGTGAGGACAGCAGCAGGGCTTCTGGTATCAGGCATGGTGTTCCAGGCCCTGACCCTGTGTGGGCCCCAGTAACTGCTGGCTTCTGCCAAAACAGTAGTGGATGTTGCAGAGTGGGAGTGAGGACCGTCAGGTGGAAGCTCAGGCTCCTGCCACCCCAGGGGCTGGTGTGAGGAGACACCCACCACATCTCCACTCTGCTTTCTTGCCCTGTGGGCTGAGGTGTCTGTCCCGTGGGTGCACTGGCAATGCCTATGTGAAGGCGAGGGATGGGGGTGTTCTAGGGCGTGTCCTAATGGTGTGGCGGCCCACTGGCCTTCGAAGTCCGAGGAATGGGGAGAGTGTTCCGGAGGGGGATGCCGGCAAGGAAGAAAGAGTGGTCACCAAGCTCCACAACTACACAGGCCCCCAGCCTAGCCCTGCACAGTGCCTCACTGGTGTCACCCGCTCCCATGCATACGCCCAGGCCCCTGGAAAAAGCAGTGGGAATAAAGGGGTCCTGGTGGGGTGGCCCCACGAGGAAGGCTGGCTGCCTACGAGCAAGTCAAGCTCCCAAACGGGGGATGTGGAGGGCACACTCCCATGCCCAGCCTGGCAGCCCTAGCGTGGAGAAGCCCTTCACCCTGTGAGCCAGCAGGATATCGGGGGTAGGGCTGCCGCTGGCTGAGCCGACCTGAGGGTGATTAACCAAGTGAAGGCGTTGGGAGTGGACCAATGGCTCTGTGGTCCCAGGTGCTCTGGTGCAGGGCAGAGGCAAAGCCAGGCCCTCAACCATGCCCCCCCACCTCATCCCCGAGCTCTGCTGTGGGCCACTATAAGGCCCATGAGCCGGCACTCTGGCCCAGCCCTCTGTTCCCTGCTGCTCCATGCAGTCTAGGCAGGAGGAAGATCCTGATGAGCCGCCTGCCCTGAGCCCAGGTACGAAGCTGAGCCCAGGTAGAGGCCTCCAGGGCCTGTGGGTGGAGGAGAAGGAGGCAGCTGCTAAAATTATGTAACCTAAATTTTTAAAAAATGTGATTTTCTTTTTGCTATAGTTCGAAAAAGTGGTTTTTTTCCCCCTTCCAATAAAATTGGTATGTTAAACACTTCATGGCCTATGTTTGAAATGCTTTTTGAAATTCTTTTTGAATCAAAATATTGGTCTTCTAAGTTATTCAGGATGTGCATAGCTGGTGTATGGAAATACATTGACTATGTTTTATCTTATTCATAAGTCTGAAAAACCCTCGAAACTTATTTACTACCTTGGGGCAGGGTTTTTAGTGATATCCTCAGGATTTTTTACATATAAATTGTGTCTTGATCATCAAATGACAATTTTCCTAATTTCATTACAACTGGAAGGTTCTTTCTTCATATTTCCTTGCATGATGTTTTTTTAGCACTACAGTGGCAGTGGTTGGTTTGGAAGTGCTAAAAAGTAAATGCCTGTGGTCTTGTTCCTAATCTTAGAGGGAAAACATCCTTTC